TGCCTTCTGCTGAATTGTGGCAGCGAGACTTCCTCTAATCTTTTCTCCAATTCAAGGATCATCATCCCCAATAACTATTTTTATAAGTTTGCTTGGACTCAAAACCTAATTTAAACTCTTTTACCTAGCCTTCCATACCTGGGCCTCGATTTTCATTCGCAAGTGCAGTAAATTAATATTAATAACGAACTTACGCGGACGCCACGAGAGTTGCGTGACGATGTGCTAGAATTTGTGGAGGCATTTCGGAAAATCGTACGTCTCGTAGAAGCAGGGACAGCGGGCCGATCCGTCGTTCGCGATCCCAAAGCGAGAACGTCAGGCGAATGTGCACGCTCGCTTTCGCTGGTTTCCATGGACATGGATCCGGAGGAATTTCCTGGAAATTTTTCGAGCTTTGGGGGGAGGGGGCTATACAGAACATCACGATAGCACAAACAGCTCAACCACAATCACAAAAGCACTGACCGACCGTCTTCCCTTCCAGTTGATACCACAAAGGGCAAGGTGAGTCCCAATCGTAGTCACGGAGGCTTATCGATGCCTGGAGGCAATGTTAAAGTATTTTATTTTGAAGAGTGGTGTAGGCAATTTTTGTAAAAATTTCGATTTTTATAAATCTTAAATTGGAGCGAAAAGGGCTTACCTCTCCAATAGATGCGTTTTGTGCGAGAAGATCCTTATGCCAAACACTTAGCAACAGGTAGTACTGCTCCAATTCAGACTTTGTTATGCGTGGGAACTATAAACAAGCATTTGTGGTGTTAATCAATACTTAATAATCGATCTGGAATGATGGAGATAATTGAAGGATTTGAGAAAAATTTCGTAGGCACGGGGTTAGTTAGCGGCATGTTAATAAGCTATCTCCATGAAAACAACTGTAGAGCGTCTTCATTGATTTATTGATTTTATCCTTTTGTTTTACATTTTTGTTAGGACCAACTTTGTCAATAGAATTGATTTTATCGATATATTGATTTCTTGCAGTTAACGCTCTGGCAGGCTTTGGCAAAGGGATCAAATGAGCACAATTATTACAATCAGAAC